AAGTTCAGGGAAACACATCCTCAAATATCAAGAAAATGCTTCAGGGGCTGGAGAGATGGTTCAGCAGTTAAGAGCGCTGACTGCTCTTGCAGAGGACGCAGGTTTGATTCCCAGCACCCACATGGCAGCTATGAACCATCCTTAGCTCCAGTTCCAGGGGAATCCGACGCCCTCTTCTGACTTCCGAGGCACTGCATGACACCAGTGCACTCACATACATGCAGGCAATACACTCATACACATAAAAAAATAATAATAAATTTTTTTTTTTAAATACTTCGGATCAAGCCGGGCATGGTGGCGCACACCTTTAATCCCAGCACTCGGGAGGCAGAGGCAGGTGGATCTCTGAGAGTTCAAGGCCAGCCTGGTCTATATGGTGAGTTCCAGGACAGCAGGGGCTACAGGGAGACCTGCCTCAAAAAGACCAAAAAAAAAAAAAAAAGCTTCAGATCACATCAGACTACTTTAAAACTTGGAAAATTAAATGCATTATTTCACTGGGATAAAAATTTCACTTAGCATATCAGATTAAAGTCAAGAAATACTTAAATACTTCCTAATGCTGTGGTTGTAGCTCAGAGGTAGAGAGCACTTGCCTAGCACACAGCTCTTGGGGCCCTAGGACCAGGGGAAAATACATAACCTATTCTTTTGACCAAGTTAGCCAAACAATTATGAAAGACTTCTTCTGTAAACTTTTTCTTTTGCTTTTTCCTACCTTCCCCATCATCTCAGCACTCAGGATTGAACCCAGGACCTTGCAACATGTTCAGCAAGCACTTAACATCCTCAAGACCTTTTTTACTTTGCTTTGAGACAAGGTCTAGCTTAATTGCCAAGGCAGGGCTCTCTAACTTGAAATCCTCCAGCCTCAGCCTCACTCCTGCTGGGATTACAGTCATGAGCACCAATGTGCAGCCACAGTGATTTTTTTTTATAAAAGATGAAAAGAGGGCCAGGTGAAAAGCTGAAAAGAGGTAGCTCAGCAGGTACAATCTGCCCTGCATGGTGGCACATGCCTTTAATCCCAGCACTCAAGGGGCAGGGAGATCTCAAAGCTAGCCTGGTCTACATAGCAAGTGCCAGGTTAGCTGGGGCTACAGGGAGACCCTATCTCAAAACAAACAAAAAACATGCTACCAGGACTGGAAAGATGGCTCCCAGGAAAAAGGAGCACTGGCTGCTCTTGCAGAGGACCTGGGTTGATTCCCAGCACCCACTCCAAGTCCAGGGGAAGCCAATGCCCTCTTCTGACCTCCACAGGTACTGCACCACATGGGTGCACTTACATACAGGCAATATGCTCATACACATAAAATAATACAGTAATATTTTTTAAAGACATGCTCCCCCCATCCTTTACTAACTAGCAGAATGTTTTTTTTGTTTTTTGGTTTTTTTTTTTTATGTGTATGAGTGTATTGCCTGCAGGTAGGTAAGTGCACCCGTGTCATGGAGGACAAGAGGCCATCGGATCCCCTGTAACTGGAGTTAACAGCTAACTGTCATGTGGGTGCTGAGATTCAAACTCAGGTCTTCTGCAAGAATCACTGGTGTTCTTAACCGCTGAGCCATCTCTCCAACCCCCAGAATATGTTCTTATAGAGAAGAGGCCTTGGTGTTTAAAAAAGAAACGGCTCTGAAGTCAATGACTGAGAACAGATGCATTTCTGATGTTGCAGTATTCAAAGCAACCCAAGCGACCATGAAAAAAAAAAACTTACCCACCACATCCCATAGAGCCACTCCTGACAGGATGAAGAGTATTAAGAACAAAATCAGAAACTACCACTCAAGCCCAAATGAAACATATGCTGACCACTCTGACCCCTCAACCCCCAAAATAGGAAAAATATTCCTTTTTGGACAGGCCTACCAGCTCCTTGGGAGGCTAAGGCAGGAGGAGGACAGGAAATTCAAGGCCTATCTGGACAACTTTGTGGATCCTGTCTCAAAATAGAGAGCTGGGGATAGAGCTCCATGGTAGATTGCTTGCCTAGCACACATGAAGCCCTGAGTTTCATCCCCAATGCTCCCCCATGCTTTCCTATACCACTGTGTTAAGTTTAAATATATGGAAAAGTTAAGGCTGGATTGAATATAAAAAAAATGGTAACTTGATTAATATGCCTACAAATACACAGAAGCTATTTCTTAGACTACTAACTTGTTAAAGAGATTACTAAACCTAAGGTAAACAGTCTTAGCCCCAGGCTTCCTATATGCAACCCAAAAAAGTCCTGGTCTGAACATAGCTTCTCAGCCGTTTTTCCAAGACCATTAAATAATCTATATAAATTGATTTTAATACCCCAGGGGAGAGTTAAATAAAGCTATTTCAGGCACTAGTTTCCACACAAGCATGCAAAACACAGACAAGCCTTTAGGGCAGTAACAAAAAGGCCAGTTAAAAGGCCAACATTTCTATCCAAGTATCCCCAAACCAATTCATTCCAATGCATCTCCTTTCACTTACCATGAGAGCAATTTTATTTAGTAACTACTACTAAAGGACCACTTTTGTTATACAAACAAAACTTCATTACTGCAATCAATAAAGGAGTGGACAACTATTTCCTGTGACTGCCTCCCTCCATTCCCTTTATAGTGAATCCCTTTCTTATGCCAAGTCACAGGAGTACTTCACCCAGATCCTTCTCCCTTTTAGGACCTGAAGGGGGAACATAATAAATGGTCACCAAGCGGTAGAGTCCTGTGAATAACCAAAAAGGGCTTTGGTCAAAAATCATCAGCAGTCAAATCTCAAATATGATTTAAAATTAACCTGCCATTTATTTGGAAGCTACAATCACATAAGCTTCCAAATCCTTTTTTTTTTTTTAAGAATTTTAAAAACAAAAAAGCTCCCCCTGAATTTTATTTAATTTTTTGGTTATCACACTGAATTTACTGAGCCTATATCCCCACAAAACAGCATTCAAATGTAATTTCAAGTTTTCCTCCCAAGGACCCTAAATTAAGGGGGAAACTTATTTGGGGACGTTATAGAGACAGTAACCTCCAATACTAGCAATACTGGCTTTGAAAGGTATTGAAATAAAGACAAAGCTGACCTTGAGATGTACTTGTACTTTCCCCCATCTTACTATTCTCCTCCCTCTCCCAACAGGAGCCTGGTTCGATACAAACAGCAATTTAAAAATTCTACAAGACAGTATTTAGTTCAGTATCTTTCGGCAATTTGAGGTTTTGAGTCTTTATTGAAGCTCTTTCCAAACCCCTATATGCTAATTTCTGATGGGACTCTAGGACTAATCCAAAAACTACCCGCAGGCCAAAAAAGAGATTTAAGGGTCGGGTCCAACCTCATTTTTGAAAAACAAGTGGCCTCAAGCAATTAGGTAAAATCTGAGGACCAACAGCACTTGTTTCCAACCACGTCTTTCATCTCTCCCTCCACCACAAAAGCATTAAAACCACAGGAACCACACTTCTGATCCTTCACTTTTTAAATACTATTTTGATGGATATTGGGTAACTCAAGCAGTAGGTCCAAAATTGGGGGAAGAAGGCATTAAAAAATATAAACTGCTGATGACCGACTAAACAAACATAACTGACATTTCAAAAGTTCTCAGAAAGGACTAAACATTCAACTAACCAGGAGCCAAGGCTGTGTAGCTCAATGGCAGGGGTGCTGGCCTAGCATGGACTAGGTCAAGGCTCTGGGTTCCATGGGGGGGAGGGCTAAAATGAACAAAGAGTAACTATTAAAATTTGTATAAAAAACCACTTACTTAAAATGGATAAAAGAGGGCTGGAGCGTTAGCTAAATGTTAGAGCGCGTGCCTAGCAAGCGTGTAACTCTGGGTTCGAGCCCCAGCAGAGCAAAAATCAAGTTATAAAATGGATCACCTACATTCGAAATCCAAAACCCCAAGCCTCAGCTGAGTGGTTAGAATAGGGAAAGAGTCCCCAAACCAAGCAAGACCACGATTCCAAGCCTGGGTTGTCAGCCGAAATACTTACTAAACATTATCTGAAGTAACTATTTTTTCAACAGGTCTTTCCATGGGTCATAATGGTGCGTGTAAATAAGAAAGTCTTTTTACTGACGGGTAGACTGAGGCACGGGCACTGCAAAGGGCAGTACTAAAGAGGCAAGCCCTCCTGCATTCTATGTTCTATCCACCAGACCCCAGTGCTTGTCAAGCCTGCGGGGTATTTAAAAAAAAAAAAAAAAAAAATCGCAGGAACTTTGGGATATCTTGGAAAGGAGGAAACGAAGCAGGAGTGAACGAGCCTCTTCGGCACCTCCCCGGAAGAAGGCGAGGCTAAAAAGCCCCCAACCACTCACTCCGGGCGTGCATGCCCATGGGGAAAGATCCAATCGCGGCCCCCGCCGGCGTCCACCCCAGGATGAGCTGCAGTGATTCCACACTCTTCACCCTCGCCCCACCACCGGCTCGAAGCAGCCCCTCTGCTCCAGAGGCTTCTCCTTTGTGAGACTCCACAGCCGCCGCCCCACGCCAGGCCTCCGGGAAAAAGCCACCGCCCCCACCCGCCATATTTCCCTGAAAGGCGCCCGCGCTACAGATCCCGGGTTCCTCCCTCCGCCGAGGGACCGGTGCTCCTGCTCCCAGCATCCCACCGGATTGTTCTCCACACCCCGCCACCGTCCCGCAAGCTCCTGTGGGGAAAGCGCGCCGGGAGACGGCACCCGCCATCTCCTCCCCCTCACCCGCCCCGGGACTCGCCCTCCCCCCCAGCCGCCATTTTACAACCAACTCCTCCACCCTACCACCTCGGCCAGCCGGCTCGCGCGTGTCGGCCAGCTGAGGACACCCAAGGGGTCAAATTTCCGGGCCCGGAGACTGCCGTCGCTCCGGGAGACCTCAGGCCCCGTCCCACCTCAAAACCCACGTCCCCCGGCCAGACTCGGAGACGAGGCCGCCATTTTGTCTCCGGTTCCCGGCCTCTGTGGGCGGCGGCGGAGGGTCCGAGGCTTCCAGTCCCCCGGCATCCCTCCAACTCACCGTCGTATCGCTCAGCCTGCTCTGCCAGCTTCGCCTGGTACACCAGATCCTCCCGATCATCCATAGCGGCAGCGGCTCCGGCAGGGTCTGCGCGACGGATGGAAGCGGATAGCGTCTCCGACTCTCTCAACCTCTCGCTCCGCGTCCGAGCAGCAAAAATGGCGGCGCCTCAATCCGGGACTTCCGCCTGCGCACGCGGACAACTGCTCAGCTCTATGGCAACCGCTCCCTGGCAACTGGCGCGGGGGGGCGGGTCCAGGAGTTCGGCGCCAGAAAAGGCTGGAACTAGAGAAACAGACGCCCCTCCTCCGTCGGCTCCGCGGGCGCCGGAGTGTTGCGGCGGGAACTGCGAAGGAGAGCGGCCTGGGAGCCGGAGAGGCGGAGGCCGGCATTGCCCGCGAGTAGACGGGCGAAGTACCGGAAGGAGTCCCTTGCAGTAGCAAGAAAAGAGCTTGCTCTGTCCAGTCTTGCTCGGTTTTTTTCTTACCCAAATACAACATGGGCCTTACGGGTACCTGATTAAAGTTGGCAAGTGAAGAAGGGAGGGCTCAGTTGTCACGCATCTTCTCCTCCCGCACACACACTGTAATCCTTTTCTGCTCTGCTTCGGCCCTATTTTTCCTCTTTGGCCTACCATAGATAGGAATAGGAAAATGGTTAATCACTGGTTTGGCCAGCATGGTGCGCATGTCTTTAATCTCAGCACTCCAGAGGCAGAGGCAGGAGGATCTCGTGAGGCCAGCCTGGTCTACATAGCAAGTTCCACACCAGAGCTACTTGACACTATCTCAAAAAAAAAAAAAAAAATCGAAAATTAAGTCCCAGGTTTGCCTTGGCATGTGTAGTAACACACACACACCTGTCTTCCTTCCCAGCACTGCAGTGGCAAGAAGATGGAGGATCAGGAACTTGAGTCTAGGCTAGGCCACATAACAAATCCCTATCTCAGGTAAGGGGCGGGGGTGGGGAGGTGGGGGCCTAGTCTTTCAAGGTGCGCCAGAGTGGAGTAAGAGCAAGTTGACATTGAGGTGACAGAAATAATGCTCAGTGGGAATTCACCTGCTATGACCTTGCCTGTTTTGCTTCTGCCTGAATTCACAGCATCTTGTGCTCAATAACTGCTGCTATGGCTGGACAGGATAGGGGTCTAAGTGTGGCGTAAGGAGGTCGGAATCAAATTATGAAAGGCCTTGGGTGACAGGCTAAGAGGTTAGCATCTTAGAGTATGACCAGAGGGGAATTGTTTTGTTTTGTTCAAGTGATGGGGACTGAACCCAAGCCTCCAGCATGTGCTCTGCCATGAGTTATAGCCCCAGCCAGGTGAGCTATTTTTGGATGACTACATGGAAGATGACATTATCATAGTTATGCTTTTCTAAAGTATTGCATATTTGAGAGGTGTCAATTCAACACCTGTAATTCCAGCAGAATGGAAGCAGAGGCAGGAGGATTGATTGCCACAAGTTCAAAGCCAGCCTGGACTACAAAATAAGACCTTGTCTCAAAACACAGGGAGAAAGAGAGAGAAGAGACTGATTGCATGGTGATTAAGGAGGAAGGTAAATTATCATATTACAGTAATCTAAGCAAGAGGCAACAGATGATAGCAGTATAAATAGAAAGGAAAGGACAGATAGGAACAGCATTACAGAGAAAAGCCACAGGACTTTGTAGCTGAACAGATGTGGAAAATAAAACAGTAATTGACAGCTGGATGTAGTGGAGCACGCTTTTAGTCCCAACACCTAGAAGGCAGAGGCAAGTGGATCTCTTGAGTTTGAAGCCAGCCTGGTCTACATAGCAAGTTCCTGGATAGCCAGGGCTACATAGTGAGAGCCTGTCTCAAAAAAAAAGAATAATAATTTGACTTCTCATCTTCCAACCCTTAATCTCAGGAATGAGTAGCAGTACCATTAAGCAAAATGTAGGAATACAGACCTGAATGTGGTGACCCACCTATAGTCCCAGCACCTGAGAGACTGAGGCAGGAGGATTGCCATGAGCTTGAAGCCAGCCTGGGCTAGAAAGTAAGACCATATCTAAACAAACAAATAGGAATCCAGGAAGAGTTTCTGGTGGAATGTGAAGACATGAATTCTATTTGGCATATGGTGGTTCTGAAGTCCCCAATGTAAGAGACATTAAATACCAGTCTTTCAAACCCTGTAAAACTTGGATTATGACAAGAAATTCTAATCTTTTTTTAAAGAAATCCTAATCTTTTAATTCCATCATACCCTGTAAAACTTTTATGTGAAGACCGCATTGCATTCCCTAACCCCAAGGCCTGGGGCAGTAGAGCTCTTTTCTTTTTGCCAAGTATGTTAAACTAGCCAACAGGGAAGACTGTGCGGTCAGACCCCAGCCAAAAAGGAAAAGACATAGTATTCTTGTATTAGGGATAAACCTATCAAGCGGAGCTGGAGAGATGGCTCAGCAGTTAAGAGCACTAGCTGCTCTTTCAGAAGACCTGGGTTCAGTCCCCAGCACCCATGTAGTGGCTAACAACTGTTCTTGACTCCAGCTCCAGAGGATCCAAAGCCCTCTTCTGACATACATAGACATTGTGCAACATGGGTACATGTAGATACTTGCAGGCAACATACTCATACACATAAAAATTAAAAAAAAATTTTTTTTGGTCTTTTTGAGGCAGGGTCTCCCCAGCTCTCCTGGAACTCACTATGTAGACCAGGCTGGCCTTGAACTCACAGAGATCCACCTGCCTCTGCCTCCCGAGTGCTGGGATTAAAGGCGTGCGCCACCACACCCAGTATAAAATATATTTTAAAAACTATCAAGCTTTGGAATCCTAACTGACCACACAACACATCCTTTTGCAAAAATAAAATCTGCAAAATTTGCCTTAATGAATTACGTTTTTTCTTCATCCGTGTTCTTTGTGTGGCGTTGGTGGGGGTCCCTTGGACCTGAGATTTTATTTATAACACCAAGGATTACCCAGGAAGAATAGCATGGGGTTGAAAAGGAAGACTGACAAAGCTGGCACGGTGGTGCGTACCTGTAATCCCAGCATTGAAGGACTTGAGGCAGGAAGATCAGGAATGCAAGGCCATCCTCAGCTGCATACTGAATTCAAAGCCTGCCTGGGTTACATAAAACTCTGTCTCAATAAACAGGGCTGGGGAGATGGCTCAGCAGTTAAGAACACTGGCTGCTCTTGCAGAGGACCTGGGTTTGGTTCCCAGCATTCACATGACAGGTAACAACCATCTGTAACTCCAGTTACAGAGGATCTGATGCCTTCTTCTGGCCTCCACAGACATTACATGCACGTGGTACACTTACATACTTGCAGGCAAAACACTCATATACATAAAAATAATTTTTTTAAAAAAAAAAAGAAGTAAGGAAAGGAAGGGACAGACTGACATTCCAAACAAAAGAGGCTAGCTGGGTGAAGTGGCACATGCTATAGTCCCAGATCTTCAGGACGCTAGAGGTTCACTTTAATTCAAGAGTTCCAGGCCAGCCTCGGCAACATAGACCCTGTCTCAAAAGAAGAGAGGCTGCCATTGAACTAGCTACAGAGTATGTGGAAGGGGCTAAGCAGGATAGCTTGGGTAAAGGCCTTTGCTTTAAAGGCTAAGGAACTGAATTTAATCACTGAATCCCACATGGTAGAAAGAAAGAACCAACTCCTACAAGTTGTCTACAACCACACCATGGCACATAATTGTACACAAGTGCATGAGTATAGAAACACACACACCCTCACATACACATACACACACACACACACACACAGAGTTTAAATTTTTTAATTAAAGAGTCAGGGCTAGAGAGATGGCTCAGTGGTTAAGAGCACTGACTCTTAACTTGCAGAGGACCTGGATTCAGTTCCCAGTACCCACATAGCAGCTAACAACTGCTATGTTAAGTCTATAACTTCAGTTCAAAGGAATTTAACACCCTCTTCTGGCCTCTACAGGCATTGTCCAAAACTGGTACACTTAAATACATGCAGGCAAAACACATAAAACTAAAAAAGGCAGGCATGGTGGTATACACCTTTAACCCCTGCACTTGGGAGGCAGACGCAGGCAGATCTCTGTGAGATCAAGGCCAGCCTGGACTACATAGCAAATTCGAGACCAGCTGGAGCTACAAGGGGACACTCTCAAAAAAACCCAATAAACAAGTATGTAAAGGTAAAACAGGAAATACATGCTTTTTAAAGATTTATTATTTTCAAGAGCTGTTCATGGTGGTACCCACCTTTAATCCTGGCACTCAGGAAGTAGAGGCAGGTGGATCTGTGAGTTCGAGGCCAGCTTGGTCTACCATAACAAGTTCCAGGCCAGCTGGGGCTACAGGGAGACCCTATCTAAAAAGAACCAAAAAAAAAAAAAAGATTTATTATTATTTTCATTTCCGTGTGCGTGTGCACATGTGGTGTGCACATGTGTGTTTTTATGTGTTTATGCCATGTGTGCAAGTGTCCAGAGAGGCCAGAAGAAGGTGTCTAATCCCCCCAAGCGGGAATTACAGGCAGTGTGATCCACCTGATGTGAGTGCTGGGAACTGAACTCCAGTCCTCTGGAAGAGCTGCAAGTACACGTAACTGCGGAGCCATCTCTCCAGCTCCAGAATATGTACTTAAAAAAAATTATTTATTGGGGCTGGAGAGATGGCTCCGCAGTTGAGAACACTGACTGTTCTTGCAGAAGACCCGGGTTTGAATCCCAGCACCCAGATGGCAGCTAACAATTATCTGTAACTCTGGTCCCAGGGGATCCGACAGCCTCTTCTGTCCTCCTCAGGCATTGCACGACACAGGTTCACTTACCTACATGCAGGCAATACATGAATACACGTATTCTGCTAAAACAGTAAGTGTTATTAACCACTGAGCCATCACTCCAGCCCCCTGAGCAAGTGTTTTTAACTACTCTAGAGCCATCTCTCTAGCCCCTGGAATTTGTATTTTTAAGAGAGATGTAAAAGAAAAAGAAAAAGATGCACATACAAAACCCAGCAAAGTCCCAGAATACAACAATCTATGCACAAACGAAAAAAGGGTTTTTTGGGTTTTTTTTCTTTTTTGGTTTTCTGAGACATGGTCTCTTGATAGCTTAAGCTAGCCTCAGTCTCACAGAGCTTCACCCAAGTGCTGGAATAAAAAGTATGTGCCACTATACCCAGCCAATTGTATTTTTATAC